ATGAGTATCAGGTTGGGCATTATAGGACCTGCAATGCGTTGAAAGCAAACTCACGTTCCCTCGCAAACATTGGGCGACCTCGCAACAATCTCGCCATGATGGGGGGTACAGGGAATCATCCAAAACACGGCTTGCGCAGTACAGTTAGGATGTCCAATTTTATGCGGTTTGTCCAGTCAGTTTGATGGTGCACTTGACGTCAAAGTTCGGCGTGCACTTGTGGATGAGAAGGCCGTGGAAATTCTTGGTGATTCAAATATGTGTGAATTGGTTCCAGTTGTTCTTTTCACAACCGTTATTTGGAATCCCTCAGCCTTAATGACTATAGTCACCCCTAAAAGATAGAAATATTTTACTTGTTTGCATCTTTTTGGGGGTTGCTATTTCTTATTTTTGAAGGACCCCCCAGAGTCTATCTGCTGCACAGGTACGGCCTAAAAATCCTGAGAGAGATTACTGAAGAAGAAGCTGATGAATATGATAATGAAGAAGATTATGAAAATCTTGAACACTGTCACTGGGCTCAGGAAAACGGTGAAAATGGGGCCAATTCCTGTGGATGGTTTGGGGTGGTTTGGGTGCCTCTTCCAAAAACCCAAAGGGATGTTTGGACAAAGTTCGGGCAGCGCCACCCGAGGTTTGGTTTTAGTCAGCAGTAAGGAATCACTTTCGGGTCTCAAGGTATAGGAATGGATCCAACTAACTTAGATTGTCAAGTATTCTGTCAGAGGCTCGGCGAGTTAGCAAGAAACAGCTCTCTCGATCGCACAATTGTGCGAGTGGTGGTCTTAGGATCGAACATGTTTCAAAGATACTTAAGTTTCAATTTAGGCCGAAATCGCAGTTGTCTATGGCAGCGTCAGCACATTGTTGCAATTTTTATTCAAATCATGCTGGACTGGAGTAGAAAATAAATGGGTTTGTCTGGAAATGTTGGGTACCCATTCCCATGTTTGATCATTATGTTCCCCATTTAGCATTGGCTTCTTTGGCGGGTAAATCTTCATTTTCAGACCCAGAGATCCGCTGATTGATGATCTTCCTCTTCAACAGTATTTTGGAAACCCGAAGCCACGAGCCATCCTCACAATCACTCACCAGACATGGGTGGTAGCCATAACCATCCCTCAACTGCAGGTTTTTGTAATTTTTATCTAATTATGTGTCCTACAAGCCATCTTGCGATGTCCACGCTGCATCTGGCGGGTCGCTGCTCAGGTGAAAGCCAATTGTGACCTTTACAAGTTTCACAATGCTCCTGCTTCTCATTGTCTCTCATAGTGTACAAATCAAAATGATACATATATACGACATTATACATTAAACATGGAACTACTCATATTACGTAATATTATACTATCATAATATCTCAGACTACTTCTCATATTCCAAGTTCAGCCCTACCAAAGCACTCCTGGCAACGAGGCGAATGGTTGCGACGGCGACCCTTCGACATGCGCCACGCTGTGGAGTGTGTGAAGCACTCACAGCTCTGCGAGATGGGCGAGGCCACGGCTGTTCCCTACGGTTCTCAGAATGCAAAGGAGCGAATTGGTTGGGGGTCCCACAATGGATTAGTACCCATAGGATCCATGTATGCTATATATGGTAACATTTGCCATCAATATACCCCCAATGTTAGCATATATCATATATACCATACATGGATCCTATGGGGTATAGATTATCAGAATCTCCATGAAGCCCAGTAGAACCCTCGATCATAATCAATCAACAAATGGTTTGGTCATTGCTCGTTGCGGAGAGATGACGCTGGTTGATGCCGGCCCCAAGCGAATCCACCAACTGCAATCATTTGATTTGGCCATGGGTTGAAACTGGAAACAACATGAAACATATAATGACAACCCCGGATTAATAAACCCTGGTTGATGAATTGTGGTGGTTCCCCTAAATAGCAAATAGCAATAAATGGCTACTGAAATGGTACCCCCCCAGTTAAACAGCCTAGGGTCCATTAATCCGGGCTTGACAGTCCGAATCAAAGGTGTTACCCAATGAGGAGCACACGGATGTGGAGGGTCATGGTTCATTTCCTGTACGTTTTACCTCTGGTGAGCCTCTGGCGATTTTTCACGTAGCTTTGAAAAATAACCATGTTCAATCGGCAATTCATCATACCGGGTTCTTCAAAAAAAACAGCCATCGACCAAAAAGTTTCAACATGCACCGGAAGCCCCCGGACTCCCTGTATCAATGTTGCTACTTATCACTTCTCAATGGCCGGAGCAAGAATGGCTGTTTTTTTTTGAAGGCTCCGCCAAGCGCTGCTTTGACACAACATTGAGATTGGGGAACCAGGGGTGTCTAACTGTCCTCACTAGAATTCAAGTTGGTTGGCTGTTTTTTTTGAAGAACCCGGACTACGTCCGGGGAGGATATTTTGGACTTATGGATGTTCACCTGAGCTACGTTTTTTTTTTAATATAAAAGGGTTTATATAGAGGTTAAACTGGATGTTGCTTTTGTTGTGGTTTTACCTGGCTGGCGTAAGGATTGCGTAGGATTGGCGTAGGCATTTTTCAAGGTTCCAAATATCTTCTGGTTCGCGTAGGCAACATTTCATTGTATTTCAAATGCTCGTACATGATCGGCGTTGCAATCTCACGCTTTAAAATTGATTCAATGTTATCCACAAAAGGTTCAAAGGCACCGGGTTCATTCATGGATACTTGTCTATACGAACAAACCGGGGAACTTGCCCGGAAGAGCAGCTATACAAAGGCAGCGGAGCAGCTTAAACCGTCTTGATGTTCTTCGCTTTCCACCTGCTCGTTGCTAGACGGGCCATATTAGCTCTTGCTTAAGAGGAATGTTTCACCAGATTCCTGCCAGGAGACCCCTGGAACAGGCGCAGGCTTCGCGTAGACTTCGCGTAGGCACCGCGTAGGCTCGGGTGCCCGGACTGACCACCAGCCCACGTCCGCACCAGTCATATTCGACACATTGAACCGCCCAGAACTGCCCTTCACCAAGCTAGCGACAGTCGAACACGTCGCTTGGCTTGACTCCAGCATAGTCAAAAGTTACTAGCTGAGTCTTCAGTGATTTATCATGATTTATCCACCAGATGTTTAGTGTGCGCTTTGGGACCTGGTTGCTGGTGCGGCTGCTGCACATGGGTGTGGCTGCAAGATGTCTATGGGCGCTTTGGAGCCTGGGCGCTCGTGCTGATGCAGGGAGTGCAGGGTGCCGTAAGGCCACTTAGCAAAAATGTGAATGGGACTGTGGTCGCGTAGGCAAAAGTTCCGTTTCCAACCTTCCAAAAGCAAACGGAAGTGTGACGGCGTAGGCACAAACGTACATTGAGGCGTCGCTTTGCACGGGCGTTGGGCCTGCGTAGGCACACCTTCAAAGGGATGAGCCGCGTAGGCTCCCACTGTGGCCGCGTAGGCATTGCGTAGACAGCGGCGTAGGCAGCACAGGAGTATAAGGGCCCAGACAAAAAAAACACAGCTCACCTGTTAACTTGGGCAGATGTCATGTTGTTCTTCCGACAACTTTTTGCATGCAGATGTGACATCATCACAAACGCCGCCCGCAACGCAATGGATATCTACCTGTTAACTCCGGCAAGTGTCATGTTGTACTTCCGACAAGCTTTTGCATGCAGATGTGACCTTATCACAACTGCTGCCCGCGGCTTAGCAAGCAGCACCGCCACATATTCCCCATGGGCCAAGCCAGGCTGTGCTTGCCAGAAGCCTAAAGTCATCAAGGCCCCTGCCGGCCAACATTGATTTCCTTGTAAATTCCCATGCAACGCACGTGCAACACTCTTGTACCACGACGTGCAACACGAGCACTTTTACTGTAAATTAGCGGCTAAAATGTAGTTTTTTGGCAGTCGCAGGCCGACCCTCACTTTCAAATGGAAACAAAGAGTATTTGTAGCGGCCGGACGAGAAAAGGCGATCTTACCTGTAAATTTTCAGTAAAAGTGCTCGTGTTGCACGTCGTGTTGCACGTGTGTTGCAGGTGCGTTGCATGGGAATTCACAGGCAAGTCACGCATAGCTGCCCAGTGGTGCCGCAGGGCAAGAATTTCACCGCCTTGGCTGCCAAAGCTGCTGCGTTTGCCAGGCAGACAAAGGCTATTTGCTAAGTTGTCAGCAGGTGTCAGCAGAAGGTGTGATTGATGCAAGTGCTCTTGCAGTAGGTACAGCGTTGCTTTAACAGAGCGTTGTATGTTGCAGCGCTGCGTGTTGAGCCGCGGGCAGCAATTGCGATGAGGTCACATCTGCATGCAAAAGCTTGTCAGAAGTACAACATGTGACATTTGCCGGAGTTGACAGGTAGATATCCATTGCGTTGCGGGCGGCGTTTGTGATGAGGTCACACCTGCATGCAAAAAGTTGTCGGAAGTACAACATGGCATCAGCCCGAGTTAACAGGTGAACATCCATAAGTCCAAAAAAACTTCCCCGGGTTCTTCAAAAAAAACAGCCATCGACCAAAAAGTTCCAACATGCACCGGGAGCCCCCGGACTCCCTGTATCAATGTTGCTACTTATCACTTCTCAATGGCCGGAGCAAGAATGGCTGTTTTTTTTGAAGGCTCCGCCAAGCGCTGCTTTGACACAACATTGAGATTGGGGAACCAGGGGTGTCTAACTGTCCTCGCTAGAATTCGAGTTGGTTGGCTGTTTTTTTTGAAGAACCCAGTGTTTCATCATCAAGTATCTACGATGGGACGATGGGCCAAATTCTTCTATTTTCCATAGTTTTTTAAAATAACCAGCGGGACCACCCCATGGAGACAGCAGAAATGTCGCGTCGTGAAGTTTCTTGACGTTTGGTGACCTTGGTGGGAACAGAATCTTTGCTGTTCATTTGGTACAGCTCTCGTCCCGATTCGCACTTTTCATTGGAACCCCCCATATTTCATCGGAAAATTTACCGGAACCCCCCATATTTCATGGGAAACACCTGGTTTTCCCGTAGATTTTCCCTACAACCAATCAATTTTTCAAGCTCCAGGACGTCAGTATTGCGATTTCAAAGCATGGACCGACGTCACTTACATTCGGAGAGAGACTGGGACAATGCTAGAGGGGTTGGACAACAGATGATATGATAAAATAATAATATGATAATAATAACCATTACTGTACAATGATTATTAATATGCAAATTGTCTGTAGATATATTGTATGTATATATATGTATATACACATAGTAACAAAATACTGATAATAATAATGATCATAGTAATAACAGTAATATATGATTAGTTTTCTTATTATGATTGCCGTGTGTGTATGTATGTATATATATATATATGCAGATGTATCTAGATATATGTGGGATCATGTAGATATATCATATTCGTGTGTATGGGTTTGTCCCAAGGTCAGGGGACAGCCCCATGAAAAGAAAAGAAAATCATAGGGAAAATGATGGCAAACCAGGGGATGCTCTCAATATTTGTCGGTTGATGCAAGGTTTGTAAATAGGCACCCTGGCATTGTTGGTCGATTGGTTTGTCACCCTTGTATGGTGATGCGAATATGGTGGGCAAAAAATAGGTCTTCAGGATACTGTATGATATGTACATAGATGATCATACATAGTACAAACATATGTGGCAAACTAGTTTTGCACCCATGTCCGCATGGCACTGGAAACGATTCCTCAAGAGCAAACCAATGACCATGTCACCAAGTATGATTGGGTTTGGGAACTGAGTAGCACCATGACTGCTCCATCAAGTGGTGTTTTGACCTTCATCTGAATGGTTATTCAAATTGATTTTTCTTTCTCAACGTCTGGGATCCAACAAAAGAACAAGGTCGGAGCAGCCAGATCAAACACTGGGTAGCCCAGGTACCCCAAAGAACTCTGACCAGGTTTCAAAGCCATCCTCAATAATTTTACTATATTTTGCCAAATATCCTCCCACAGTATCTATATGCATGGTGAATACTTCGCGATAATAGACACGTACATTACATACATTTATTTATATATGTCAGTATACGAAAATTGATGTTTCATGATGTTTCCAGATATTTCGCGCATTGACCCAATCACTCATCTTCATAGCCTAGTTGCCCCAGCCTCCGGTCGCCCAGGAACTCAACACCTGCCGTGAAAATCTTTGCCGACGCACTGGAGGAAAAAGAACGCGAAAAATTAAATGGAAAGGCGGGAAACTGTGCAGCTGAAAAGTTGGGAAGATGATCGGATCGTAACTGGTTGGTGACCATAGATAACCCATGATAACTAACTTAACGGGACAACCCACTTAATGGTAGTAGTTTCTTCATATGGTTCGGTAATTGTTTGCAATTTTGATCGCAGAACTTTGAGAACCTCCTGAAAATGACGGTCTATCTTTCCATCCCCAAATATAGGATGATCCCGAATTGAACCAACCAGTTGAGGGCATCTTTACAGATGCTTGGGATGGACCGTCGCTTGGGCCCCAGGCTTGGATAGGACATTGTGATTGTTTAGGGCCCTATCGGGGATGATACCTTTCGGTGATGATACCTTTGGAGTGCTCAAACCTGGCAACTGGAATTTCCCATGTTCAAGAACTTACGATCCTGGACTTTCAAGGAAGAATCCAGCCCCCATTTTAGAGTAGAAGCTAAACTCGATGTTCGACCAGGAGGGCCCAGACAAAAGGTATGCTTACACCAATACTATATCATCACGTGTGTGTGTGTGTGTTTGTGTAAATATCATGAATAATATATATATATATATAATGTGTATATGTATATATATATATATGCGATTCTACACCAGTACAGAAAAAATAGTTAGTTTGGAAGATAGACAGAAAAATGGGTTGTTTGATGGATGGTTGGATAGATGTGTATAGAGTTGGATGGACCCACAGACCGACGGATGGATGGGCAGGTAGACGGACAGACAGATTCTGTAGATGTAAAGGTGCGTGACATGACATACATCTGGGTAAAGTATAACGACCTCACTGCGACCTCACTGGGAATCATTGTTAATAAGAGGAATTATCCCAAAATTGCCTTATTTCAGGTTAGTGAATTATAATTTACCCAGATTGAACATCCATGTTGTTTCATACACTTGTGTGTTTACACTGAGGGCAAAAACCCACATCTTGAGATCCTTTTTTGAGCACGAGCCGCTGAAGCCAGTCGTTTTTGCCCAGGCCACATGGGAGAGCCTTGGATGCCTTGGCCATGGAGCCATTATGGGCCGCGCCAACCAACTGGGATGTAGAGAAGTAGAGATGTATTCAGCCATACTTAAGCCCTTCTGAGTGAGGGGTACCCAGCAGCCTTTTGCCCCTGACCCCAAAAAGAGATTGCTGCAGAACCTCCGACCCACGCAATCCATCGAAGAGTGCTGGTTGAGAGGTGGAAATGGTTCAATTCATAGGATTACAACTTAGACGGGAAGCACAATCCTGGTGAAAATTGACAGGTTTCGGAGCAGGAAACCGTTCTAGAGAAGTCATTTCCGCAGGCTGAGCATTTCATGACGCTCGTGCGGCCGTTTCAGGACATGCATAAGGCTACTGTGCGAGTACTGGGGTGGATTGAGTGGCGCTGAATTAGATAGGAAAGGAATACAATATGATTTTTGTCTTATGAGTATCTGGAATACCCATGGTGATCACTTAGAGATGGATTTGTACAAAGAAACCCCTCAATGCTCCTTTATCTTTTAGGACATAATTTGCCGCACTTGTCTGTCTATCTAGTTGGGACCACTGTGATCCAGAAGATATCAACAATAATCTGAAATCCCTCTAACAACGCCTATGGCGATCAGACCCTACCCAGTAATCTTGGTGGATTGAAAACATCACTCCCTAGTCATCAAATGGGGGCTGGAATGGTTCAGAGTGTGTTTACGTGCATGGACAATATGTTTGTGAGTGATCATCACTCTTGTGCCTTTCCTATCATGAGCTTCACCACCTTCATCCCTTTCATCGGCTAATTATGTCAATTTACACTGACTAGTCACACGCATCTATGTGATATGCAGAGAGGTACTTGTACGTTGGTTATATCTCTATGTGTATGTACATAATTGTACATATGCATGCACGCTACACACACACACTAGACAAGAATGGATCATTATATGATCCGGCAGGAACTGAATACGGAAACATGCAAATCTGATCCTGAATAGTTTCCACGTCCACGATCTTCAGCAAAATAATCGAAATACATCGGCGACATAGTCGGCGAAATAATTCAAATAATCAAATATACAATCGGCGAAATAATCCAAATAATCGAAAATACAATCGGCGACATGATCTCGGCGAAAATACTGAGGAAGGTTCTGATGCAAGCAATACAGATTGTGGCAACCGTGAAGGAATAAAATCATGGTGGTTGGGGTTCTGAGCTTGGCCCCTTGCTATGTCGGAAAAAGCAGGTACGTGGAGTTGATCAGACTCCATCTCCTAGTCAACTGCATGGAGCTTCGTTGGCGACAGCCATGCAGCGACCCTGTCGCCCCCTGCATTAGGTTTAAAAAGGGAGAGGACAGAAGGAAGAAAAAGAGAGAAGTTTTACATCTATTCAGATGTTACACACACACACACCCGGCCAGAGCCGGGTCAACCCTGAAAGGCAAGAGGAAGAAAAAGCGGACACACGAAGGGCAAAAGGCCAAAAACAGCGCAGGGGGGGGAGGGGAACAGACGGACCTCCGGAACCAACCTACACGGCGAAACGGACCTGACCAAAACAGCGCACACACCTAAACCCCACGACACATTACGGAGAGGCACGCGGGGAAATTAGGGACCAAATGGGGGACTAGTTGATGACAGACAGGAAAACCAAAACAATTAATTAAAAACAGGATTCAGTTCCTAAACCTAAAGGTCGTGCGTTGTGCCAATCCAGGCCCGTGTTCAAGTCAGCCACAAGGGCATATAATTAACGACTTTCAAGTTCCAGCGAATTAGGTGCACGATATGTTTCACCTCACCAGATAACCATCAAAAGAAAGAGGACCACACCTGGAAGTCGTGTGCCTGCCTGGTTCCTTTGTCATGGCATGATGCTGTGTCGCTGTGACATTGCTGCAAAAAAGGAGGTTTCTGAATGTTCAGCACGGCTTCACAGTCACAGAGGTGTATTCCACGAGGTTTCACAAGGGACCGCAGGATCAGCGGGACACTCAGAAAGCGGAGCAAAACGGAAAGGCCAGCTGTTGCACTTTACTTAAACGAATTACCAACTTAAAATGTGTTAATTCGGCAGTCAGGACAGTCATCACTCACCCTAAAGAGGGTTGCCTCAAATGGCTCCATGGCACCATGTCGGAGCCACCATGGAAATCACACTAGACAAGAATGGATCATTATATGATCCGGCAGGAACTGAATCCTGAAACATGCAAATCTGATCCTGAATAGTTTCCACGTCCACGATCTTCAGCAAAATAATCGAAATACATCGGCGACATAGTCGGCGAAATAATTCAAATAATCAAAAATACAATCGGCGAAATAATCCAAAAAATCGAAAATACAATCGGCGACATGATCTCGGCGAAAATACTGAGGAAGGTTCTGATGCAAGCAATACAGATTGTGGCAACCGTGAAGGAATAAAATCATGGTGGTTGGGGTTCTGAGCTTGGCCCCTTGCTATGTCGGAAAAAGCAGGTACGTGGAGTTGATCAGACTCCATATCCTAGTCAACTGCATGGAGCTTCGTTGGCGACAGCCATGCAGCGACCCTGTCGCCCCCTGCATTAGGTTTAAAAAGGGAGAGGACAGAAGGAAGAAAAAGAGAGAAGTTTTACATCTATTCAGATGTTACACACACACACACACCCACGCACACACACACACACAGACACACACACACACACACTTGCTCTGAAACAGTCATGCGAATTTTTGTTGTGGAATGCATCTCACGTGCACAAGACAATCCCTAAAAAACTGCCAGGAAGGTTTCGTTGAGCCAGCGTGAAATTCATGGTGAAGTAAATTTTCTACGTCCTTGCTCTGAAGAAGGTTCAGATGCAACTGAACCAGTTGTAAATATCCAAATAACCAAATAAAACCAGATTGCGACAACAGTGCAGTAGAGACTCCTCAAATGGAAATTCGACATGCCGGTTCTTGGCTTAGCCGGTCGCCATTACGGAAATGGAAATTGGAAAAATGCAGGTACGTTTGCACGACATCATGGATGGGTCTTCGTTGGCCCGTGCCATCCATGTGCCCACGGGCCCCCTGCAATGAAAAAGAGAAATAAAACCTAGACAACCAGCAGAAGTTTTTCATCTATGCAGATGGTTCACACACACGCCTCGCTGCCGCGAGGCTTTTTTGATCAGAATCGCAAACGGTAAATGCTATTATCCAATCCCTGAAGCGGAAATTGCTTCAAAATACAGGGAAGAATCATCAGTTGAATTAATCCTGCAGCTCACAGACCTTCGTCAGGGAGTGTCTCCATGCGCCGTGCTTGGTTTGACAAAGTCCTTGTAGATTCCGCCAGATGACTGGCAAGGTGCGCCAAATCTGCCGCCGAGAAGATCTGAACCGGATGTCGGGAAAGGTCATCTTCAGTATCCTCGAGACGTTCGAGTATGGCCATGTTGGCCTCCCTGTCATTGTTGAGGATGTTCCAGAGGAACGTTGCCAGCTGATGAATCTGGACAGGAGGTGGAGTGACATCAACATTGGCAATGATGGAATCAGCGTCGTCCATGCCGGATTCATGGACCGAATTCGGGCTTTCTGGATTTTCCTCATGATGGGGGTGCCAATTGCCATACGGAGAGATCTCCGGAATTTGAAAATAGCGACGCCAGTAGTTGGCAAGTTGGGATGATTGATCCCATGAGTCAATCCAGCCATTCCGGTTGGTACGAATGTGGCCGATGATGCCATTGAAAAAATATTCCGGTTGCCTATTGTGGTGGTTGCCACGGCGATCCACTTCCGTCACCATAAGCCGGCGATGGTTCGTTTGGTTGTCGTCATCTGCACGTGATTGGACTTCAACAAAGTAATATGCATGGAGTTGACGTCGTACTTCTGTCATCTCTTGCTGGAGTGGATAGACTTCTCCCGGAGGATTGGGGATAATCGGAGCTTGATGATCGGCAGGAGATGGTATGGGTGTGGCAAGGTTTGCCGAAGAGTACCCATAGTGAGATGTGTCC